TTGCTGGGTAGAGTCACACGGGTTAGAAGGGGGAAAAAAAAGAACATATAATGGCTCACTATGCAGCTTTTCTCCCCCCAGTTCAGATTCACAGGCTCCATATTTAGACTTGCTTGGATGCTAGCACACGCCATCCTGCACCTCGCTGGTCAGCGACTCATAGGCAGAATGATAAACTCTTCCGTGCCAGCTTCCAACAAGCTTCTGGCACCAAAGTCAATTAATTCTGAAGTGGCTTTTAAAAGGAAAACAAACTAGATGCCATGAAAATAAACCAGAATGATTTAAGCAGGGGTATCAGAGTTGATACAACTGCAAGTGGGAGAGCATATTCCACCACAGAAAGAAGGCAGCTGGCAACGGTCCAAGGTAACAGCTCTACTTCTGCATAAAGCCCATCTGACACAGCTACCCAAGAAGGGGGAAAACATGAAAACAAACCCTTTGAGGATACTAGTACTACAGGACAACAGAACTGCGAGCAACACTTAACATGCACTGACACAAATAACACAAAATGTCCACCCACGCGCTGACAGTGAAAAGAGATGGAATAATAAACACTGCATCCTTGGGAAAATTCATCTCTGCAGCGAAACCAAAGCACAGGGCAGCTTGCTTGGCCAACCCAGTCCTCAATACTCAGGGATCACTGCAGCTCAGAGGAGGTAGCTACCCGCAGGTGAGAGGCAGAACTTTCCAACTTCAAAGCTGGCTTCGTTTCTCTAATTCCTACCTTGCATACTAGCATGTTTTGYTTTGTTAACTTTTGAACAGGATTTTATCTTTAATTGCTAATAAAAAGATAAAAATCGGTGGACACAGTTTCCAGTTAGCTTAAGATACCACAGTACTGCTGACTTGGAACCAGAACAAAAGGGATTGTCCTTTGCATGTATGGCAGTGCCACAGTCTCTTTGTGTACTGAAGACAAGCTGCACCTTAGAGAATCACTGGTAGCATCTCTGCTTTGGATCATGTATATTTTGAAAAAGAAATAAAATTAAATTAAAAAAAAGACCTTTTTTTTTTGCAATTACACGGCCTTATTTTGTGTAGAATCAAATCTCAGGACTTGTTTAGTAAAGGTTTCTAAACCTACAAGCTAAACCAACAATGATTACATAAAATTAGGGGAATATCCATCCTATGAATAGCCAGAAACGATACCCAAATCCACTCAAATGTAGTTCCATTCACTAATCTAGGGAAAGAAGCCTTTAAATGTTATTCATTTTCCTGACTCTCTTAAAAAGAAAAACTGTTATACACATCTGTGACCTAGCAACAATATGGTTTGAAATAGTTTCCAGATCACTGAACTGTGCAATACCTTTAAAAATGGGATGACAAAAGGTCGCAGTGGGAAGTTAGTAGCTTCTTGCAGTTTGGAATGAAATTCTTCAATTGTCAAAGTAGAATTCTGTAAAAAAAAAAAAAAAATCTTTCTTGGTGACAAAATAATGAAAACACTTAGCAAGAGGAAGACTAACCAAAGCGCTCCTGAACGGCTTATTAACTCCTTCCTGATATTGATAACAGGTTAAAAAAAGCATGCTCAATATTAAATTATTACCTTATTAAGATACTCAAAGGAAACCACTAGTATTGCAGACATTTGGGCTTGCTGCTTAGAGTACGGTTTTGAGCTCTGAGGTGCTAAGCATGCAAATGCTTTAAAATTTCAAACAACCACCAAAGCTGCTTTTCTCGACAACTTTTGAGTTTTTTTAATGGAATCCCTTGCATTTTTGTTCCTGGGGTAGAAGTAGGAATTAACATACATAAAATTCCCCACTGTTTTTTAMAGGCATAGCTTCAGGAGCAAACATTGTATTTTGCCTCTTACACTTAACAAGAGAATTGTTTATTAAGTTTTACTCACTGCACCTCTGCAATCCTATAGAAGGCAGTAGGTTGTGTAGGAAAGTCACTATTGAGTGGCTGAGGGCATAATCATTAAGACAATGGGCTGCATGGGTTTAACCAAAGGAATAATGTGATATGTACATGTCCCAGAAGAAAGGCCTTTATTTTGCTTCTCAGAGCTCAGATGAAGCGTTGCAAGGCTRAACACAACTGTAATGAACAGTGGGCAAGCACTTCTCATCTGAAAATCAAGGGCAGGTAAATCCATCCCCCAAAGCCATTTGTAGCTAATTCAGCCTTCCACAAGAATTGTGTGAGAAGGGAAATCACTCTAACAAGGTATTGTGCCTATGGGAGCAAATGCAGAGCGGGACTTGTTGAAGTTCCACTGCCCATTTCCTCCAGCACAGAGCCAAGGGAGGGGGTTCATCACTGTCWGTTAGTGTTTTGTGAAGATGTAAGCGGGAGACACCTGGGCCCTACTACCCAACAGGGCTGGGAGTCCTTGCTCCATATGAAGTCAATGGCAACTGCAGCTGCTCAGAACAGATGTAAATTAGACSACCACAGCAGCACTTTTTTCCTGGTACATGTAATTACTGCTGAAGGAGAGGCACTGGAGACAACAGTGTCTGCCAGAGAGAGGACTTGACTGGGAATAAAGAGAGTCCTGGGCCAGATTTACTACAGGCTGCCTGTAAAACAGCAGCACAACTTGACAGATGTAGATAAGAGAAGTCAGAACTTATCACCCATACATACAATTACATAATCATATTGATAATGTGACGCACGTAGCAGCATTACCCCATAAGGTCCCTCACAGCTGGATTCAATGAATACTGAGCAAAGGTTTCCAACTGCAGCTCTACTCCGAGCGTATATCCAGCTCATCCTTTCAAGCAGCATTCTGTCTCTGAATATATAGGGCACTTTCCCCAAGCCAAATACACTAGGAAAGCCAAAACATTTTTTACTATAGTACATATTTCAAGCTGTGTCTACGCTACAGGGCTGCCAGTCCCGAATGGAAACCCTGTCACACCATCATGGCATCATTCAGTACTGGCAAAGAAGCCTAGTCTGTGTCTGGTTAAGAATAGCTGCCACTTACTGACAGCTAGTCAAGTGGCTTATGTCAGCTCGGTGGCAAGAGCCAGGACTCCATTCTCACATGTGCAATACCCTCCAAATACCATCCATGCAGTGTATGCAACCCACTCCTTTATATAATAAACACGTCACACGTGAAAGAGGGAAAGGGAGAGAAGAAGGTCACAGTTACATTTTTATCACCGTTTTTTTTTTGCTTACCACAAGTCCTAGCACAAGGGTACGCACTCTCTCCCCAATCTCTGGCGAAATGTCATTGCCAAACTGCTGCAAGGTTGTAAGAAATCTCTTCAGTTTGCTGAGTTGCCTAGCTCCACAAGCTGGCGGTAACTGCTGGTTAGCCAGAGAAGAGGAAGAGGAAGAGGATGGCCCATTGCTAAAGCCGTTAGGAGGAGATGGAGCTCCGTTTAATGCTGTTGGTGAATGGCTAGTGCCATTGGTTACTGAAAGAAAAAGAGAAAAAGGGGGATAAAGTGGAGGGAGGAGGGGGAGAGAGAAGACAGAGGGGAAAATCCATCAGCTTATGTTTTCTGTGCTTGACCTCAAAATTAATTAAATTGCATGATCAAAGACAATTATGCCTTTTGACAGAGTGACACGCTGCAGCTCACATCTACTGCGCAGTAGCTGGTGCTRAGCAGCGTATGGGCTGGAACAAACAGTAGCTGCGAGCCACGCAGCCCCCAATGTGCTCCTGGACCTGAAAAGCATCATTTGGGCACCAGCCCTTTGTCAGAGAGAGAAGGAGCGCACAAGCGTGAGCACGTATCTGACTGAAAATAAAAAAATTGCTTTTTGGGGTGGAAAAAATGTACAGACATATTTCATGAAGCCTCAGTTTATCTCTGAATATTTTTACTGGTGTTTTGTACACACAACTGACAGCTGTGTTTATAAAACAGGACTTTCACGTTTTAGCCTTCCACCACCCAATGAGAAGGCTATTTTTTTTTTTTTTTCGGATACAGATTTCCTCGCTCCTAACATATGGAGCACAGTGCACAGTTTGTGCAGGTAGGAATTGCACCACGTTCACTGTGGACTGAAGCCTTTTCAGCCTTGCAGTTAAGGAGCCAGGCCTGGGGACACAGGGAAGACTTTCAGGAGGAGAATTCTCTGGGAGACACTTCCTGGGAGACCACAAACAAATCACTCAGCTTTGGATGTGTCAGCAGAGTATCTCTAAAACAGACAGGAAATGGTTTTCCTCCTGTTGTGGGAATAACTGTAAGGTTATTGTGAGAATAACTGTACCTGAAGTGCTAATTCAAAATTCATGGCAATGAGATTTATGCAGACATACTGAGGCTAATAACAGCTTCTGAGAGCCATTTTAGTTCACTATGGAAAGGAGGAGAGAATCCAACTGAGGACATCTTAACCTGCACAGGTGACCTGCAACAGGATGGGACAGACATACCCACATCCTGCTCAAGTCACTCRGGTCTGACCAGCTCAAATGGTAGCAAATGGCAAGAAAAAAGATCACTCCMTACAAACAAGAATGAGCTGGTGCAGCCCCTTGGATGGGCATCACTCAGACTCCAGCCTTCAATAAGATTCCATGTTTTCCTTTTATCATTCACTTACTCATTCACTGCCCCATTTCCTCCAAAGCACATACAAACCTGAATGTATCCCCAAAACAACAAAAAATAAGGCACTAAGCTGCTAGGAGAAAGAGTAGCAATAGGCTTAAGTTCCTTTCTGTTTAAAAGTATAGCTATAAAGAAACCTCTGTGTTTCTTAGTAACTGGATTTAAATAACTATCACCAACCATTTAAAGGAGTTTTTGGTCAAGTGACTGAATTACCATTCTGTGGGAGCTACAGAAAACAACTAGCTCAGCTCTACCTATTTTCTGCCTGTTTTTTACCTTAGCTTTTGGTTCCCTACTTTAGYTGTGCCGACTGGGGATACAAGAGATGGAGAAAGTAGAAATAGAAAAAAAAAGATTGCTGAAGTTCAGCTTTATGAGTAACTCYGAGCTATTCCATCTGAGCACTGCATAGAGTGATATATCTGAGTAAACAAACATATCACCATTGCAGGGAACTTGCTGCAGCCAGAAATAACCATACTACGAACCTGCTAAATGARGATTAGGAAGAACAGCAATGTGTCATGCAACAGCATGGCATAATACAACAACTCAGCTTCTGGTGCTGGACTGCCCTATAAAAGGGGATTTATGGTCTATAATCGAGAAAGTATAGAATGGCAGAGTTCACTACCTAAGGTAAATATAAAGAGAAGAAAGGCAGGGAAGGAAGGCAGGAAGGCAGGCAGGAAGGAAGGCAGGAGGGCAGGAAGGCAGGAAGGAGAAAAGAATTACTTCCCAAATGTAACTTTTCTAAACAATTTTTTTTTTCCCCCAAAAGAGCTGAATCCACACTAAGAGCTTTACCTCCTCTATAATGTCTAAATTTGCCAACTGGCAAAGACATCTACGCTGCTTTAAGAATATAGCTATGCTGTAACAAAAATAATTTAGTAGTTAAAATTTAAGAAAAAACAGTATGTTTTATAGTTCAGTAGTCTAAAGCAAGTGTACCCTTGACCACAAAAGAAGTACACTCTTTTCAGTCTACAGGCATTCTTTGCTATAGTAATAGTGAATGCAACAGTCATACAGAAGTGACTGCTTACTACATAAGCTGGAACTGCTATGGCTAAACTTCAAAATCTGACAAGTGAAAAAGGTGAAAAAAACATTTAAAATTAATAAAAGACTTCATATAAACAGCATGTCCCTCTCCCCTCACAAAAAAACAGCTATGGCTCACATACCTTTCAAAGTGCTGAACCCAATCAAATGAAACATCTGGGAATTGTATATGTACACAAAGGATTATTAGAATGATTAAATAAAATCTGTGTCCAGTTCCATTTATTTTTGCTAAAAGGTATCTTGAATTGCACAAAATGCCTCACTCTGAAAAGCATAATCTTCAAGATTCCTATTCTACAAAAACCTAGAAACCTAGAAACCCAGTTCCTAGGATCATCCAGATGCTGAAATTAATAAAAACAGACAAAACTTCGCAGAATCATGGTCAGTACCTTAAATTTGAGCTCATTAAAGTAATTGGCACAAACCTTCCTCTCTAAACCTCTGCCTAAATCCTCAGGACACATTTCCCTGGGATAAGGGGTACAAAGGCCTCCACTTGGCCTCTGCACAGAGTGAGGTTTAAATAAGGTTTTTATCCGACAGCAATGGGCTGAAAAGACCTAGACATAGAAGATGCTGCAGTGATGCTGCTCAGGCATATGTATTCCCCTGTTCAAAAAATGTTTTATCTAAGGTGTGCAATGTAAATACATTCTCATGTTTATACCATTACAAGGCAGCATAAAAGAGACTCAAAACTTTGCTGTTCAATCTTGGTAAGAGAGATGTGGATAGTTTCATAACYGTGGTAGGACTGGTCCAGACAAGCTACTAGATTCGAACCTCAGCTACACAGCTACGAAGGCAGAGCAGTTCTATCAAGATCACCAGTTCCTTGTTTGTTTACATCAGTAAACTGAGGCAGAGGTCCAGACCTGAGTGATTTAGAGAAGCGGTCACAAACTAGAAATCTCAAGATAAAAGTTCCATATTTTGGGGTTTGCATCCAATTTGATTAGAAATTAGAGAGCTCAAATCAGAATTCTTTATTTAATCATTACTGATCCCACTGATCTGTATTTTCTCTTAGAAACAGTCCCCAGTTTAAAAATACAAACAAACGCTAAACCCTCAAACAGTTCCTGTGAAATTTCCTATGCAAAAGGAAACACCCTCTGAACAGAGTGACAGAAGGGCAGCAGAGAGGAGAGGAGTTTGCTCCGCTTCTGAGAGCAGGGCCGCTCGGTGCATTAGCACATGGCAGGGTAGTGATCACTGCTCTTTGACGCTGCAGCCAAGCCATCAAGGAAATTACCACAACTGTCTTAACAGATTAAAAGGCATTAATCTGCTGTGCTCTTAGTTTGTCTTAATTACTTTATTGCAGTATAATCAAATGCTGCTCCAGCCATGCCTTCCTGGCTTCCCTGCACCTACTCTTGTTTCCTGCATACAGAAAGAATCGAAAAACACAGAACAAAAGGAAGAAAATAAGTCTAATTACACGTTGTGGGCGTGAATGAACTGGTTCGAGGAGCTCCTTGGGTAGTGGGAGGAGGTGGCATGGTCGGAGGCGTCAGCCTGGATTGTGTCTTCACATCCACGGGTGAGTCTGGCATTGTGGAATGCTTCTCAGTGCGATCTGCAACACACCACAGGAACACACTCTTTACTCCCCACGTACACCCGCTCAGAAAAATAAATAAAGAATAATAAAACACAGCTAAAAAGCTAGCGCGGGATGCCAGCCATTTTGGCATCTGCTGCAGAAGATTACACCTGATTATCTACGCCGGGGTGTTCTTTCAAAATTACATCATCTAAACCCTGCTTAAGAAGGTGCGACACAGATGGCAAGCCCTCATTTGTAGCGGGGCACCATTATCTTTTTGTTTTTATTTCTGGCTTGTGCAGATGCTGCCTCCGAGCGCTCCTGGAGCTGCAGCACTGCCACACAACCTCAAGGCTCCAACCTTAGCCAGAAAGCAAGAGACGAAGAGATGGGGAGGTGGTAAACCCCTTACCACAACTCTTGCCCCACTAAAACCTCTTAAACTAAAAACTAAAAGCTCTTTAGCACAGATATTGTCTGAWGCCAGTGCTTTTCATGTCTCTTCTTTGCAACTTATCTTTGAAACTATGAGGAGATACCCATGTTAAATACCAGATGTCTCCTGGTCGTGCCACCAATGTCATGTCCTGTTTTTACATTCACAAAAAGAATAAACAGAATMTGCCAAGTCATTTGCCACAAATTTTTTTAAACACAGCATTGTCAAATATCAACATTTATTCCTTTTCATATTTGACTTTGATTTTTRAAACCTGTAAAATAAACAGAAACATACAAAAAAGGAAAACAAAAAAAGGGAAACTAAGAAGAAAACCTAACAGTTCCCTTGCAACTAAAGATGTAGGGATGCAAGAYATTAGATACAGAAGCTACAGGAGTATCTTCTTTTCCAAACAGTTTTTTGCAACTTCTAAGTTAAAATGAAGCAAAAAATAGCAAAAAAAAATTAAAAAAGGAAAAATAAAAAGGAAACAAAAACCCAGCAAACTTCATGTTTTGTTTATCAAAAATGGGCAAAACATGACATCATCTACCAAATGCAAGCAAAACAAAGTTTTCATTAGTCATGCTGAAAGTTTAGCAAGCCATCTTGAGTAAAGATGTTAATGCAATTTGGCTTTTAATGGGCATCGGCTAAATTCTTCCGTCCCTTTTCCGAGGGGTGGGGAGTACTTGTATCACACGCTGCCTTCACAAGCTCTATTAACTGCATTTTGCAAAGYAGTGAACTACCAGGACTAGAGGATAAATTTAGAAATCTGTGTTTCTCAGCCCAAGAGAATGGCAAAATCAGGCACATCCTATAAAGTCTGCAGCTCCAGTGTTAGATGCCTATTCCTTGTTCTTACTAACAAGATACAAAGTTTACTAAGACAAATCTAAACTTTGCCCTGAGAGAAATCACCAACAATTCACGCGCTCTGTAAAGAGAGGGTTTCACAACCCTTCATTTCACAATCCTTCATCACAACACTTCATTATCAGAATACTTAGTAATCAGAATATAGGAGGATGAGGAGGAGGGGAGAGGCAAAAATAACAGTGTATATAGCAAATCCCAATCTTTAACTTGCAACGAGCAAGTACAATACAGACGTGGTCGGTAACCTACCGCGAGGGTAAAAACCTTTGTAGAGCAGCAGCAGATTGTTCATTTTTCAAGGGAAGGGAGTCATTTCACAAAGAATTTAGAGATGGCAACAGCAACAACACAAGGGCTGTAAAAGGGGAATACAGCTACAGTAGCCTAAGATTTGCAGCGTTGATTGAAAGTTAATGAATCTCAGCAGGATAAGGAACAGTATCCAAAATGACTCACTTAAATATTAAGGCTTCTACAGACAGGTGAGGTTTTATTTGCAATTCAGGCAACAATAAAATCTTACATGCTGGAAAAGAAAAGCAAGTTCTGAAAAGTATTCTGTAGAAATTCCTCTCCCCATTGCTACATTAAAACATTTAAATCTACATCCGCAACAAGCCATTCATTTAACATAAAGAACTATGAAAACTAGCCTTGAAATGTTAATTGCTTCCTTAATAGCTGAATTCATCTCGCACTCACCTCAACCAACCTCAGCAACAAGGGAATAAATAGCTTTCAGCTCATGTTGCAACAGAGGGAAAGAGGCACAGCAGTGAGCCCGAGCCCTCCTAAATAAAGGCAAATATTTCTGCCATGCCAAGAAAGGAGAGAGAAAGGGAGGCTTGCCAGAGCTGGTGGGGAGATAACAGTGGGAACTGCTGGTCCATCTGGTTTTCATTCTGCTAACACTCACGCTGAACTGTTAAGGCAGGCAGTCCAGGTACACAGATTTGAAGCATGTGGGAGCGCAGACACAGGCGGAGAGGAGATGGAGGTGGGTGGAAAGCAGAGCGCGAGAAACCCAGCCCCGCGAGCAGCCGGCTGCTCGCTCGGAGCAGGCACAGCCCGTATCCTCGAGGCAGCTGCCGGCAGCGCGAAGCAGCCTGGTGCCGCGGCCAAGCGCCGCTCCTCGTCCTCCAAATGCAGCTCTGCTCACAGAGCCGCTCGGATTGGGCGGAAAACTTTTCAAGAAAGCTGCCTGGATTCTGTTACTCAAACCGAACACCGTGGTGTGTTGCTGTTGCCCTCCAAATCCCGGTTTTCGCTCTACCGCAATCTGGTTTTTATTTTACTCCCGCTCGAGCAGTGCTGGCGAGCTGTTTTGCAGATCACTAAAATTACAACTGTACCCAGGTTAGGCTTGATTTACCTAATTGCCTCCCGTGCACCTCTTTACAAAACCCCTCTGCAGACAGACTGTTCAGACCACTTCGGTTCACGCAAACCAAGGCTCTGCTGCAGGCCCGGTCCCTCGGCGGACAGATTTATCTCGAGTCATCCAGAAGCTCTCCAGCACCACCAGGAGACGCAGAGCTCCTTTCAAGCACACCTCAAAACACTTCTGGCCGGAGTACAAGACTATCTTGTCAGACTAGAGGCTTTCCCTGGCAGAAAGAGGGCTTTGGAAGCAGCACAGCATCAAATGCAAAGCTGTCTGGTGTGCTTGGAGAGGGGAACGCTGGGCCCTGCGACATGGCCAGGAGAACTGGGCCTGTGGCAGGGCCGCCAACGCTCCAGTTTTAAGAGAAAAATGTCRCCAAGGATGGAGGGAGGCTTCTGGGGACAGAGCCATGGTTGATAACACAGGTCTTAAGTCGTGAGGCTTGTAATATTTGATACTTGCCTTTAAACTCCAGCTTCAGCAAATGCTTATTTTTTTAATTAAAAGGCAACAGAAACAGTTCYGCCTCTAAGTACTGAAAAAAAAAAATAAAAATGGAAATATGAGAGCTGAAAGCAAAATGGTATTTACACTGTATTCATGGGCCACATTTCCTTAAAGCATGTTATTCCATGGGGGTCCTAAAGCACAGACACTTTCCACTCAGTCGCTCTGGGGATGTTTGGCTGCCTGGCTACAGTCAGAGATGATGAGGCTCTTCAGGGCAAGAATTAATTGTTTAAGAGGAAAAAAGCTTATCTTTTATTTGTGAAATCCTGCCTGTGGAGTATATCATGTAGATTTGCTCTAGATTTGTAAGCCAGGTTTACATATCTTGAGCTTTGCCCGAAATTTGCAAGAAAAGCAAGAAAACATCCCCAAACTCTTTAATTTCTTGAATTCCAACCATTTTTAAGCTTCTGCAAAGCTGGTTCTGATCCACTTCACTTGGAATCTGGCATTTCAAACCATAATCCTGAATTATTAGGGACAGACAAGAAGTCTTACACAGACCACATTGCACACCATCACACACTTCAGAGCACAGGCTCTGTATATCAAGGCAGTAACTTCTTTCAGGTGCAAAGATTTCTTCYGCAGAACACTTCTAAGCGGTGACAGAGCCGGGATGGTTAGCCCAATTTGATCATAAGGGGCTGCAACCCAGAGATCCTCCAAACTAAAGGGAAAAAAGACATCTGCAATTCATTCTTCACTGCTCACTGCAATCAATCCAGGATGGAGATAGATGGTGAAATAATGGGTTAGTCCTAATCCATATACACAGCCCTCTGGTGCAGTGAGAGACTTAGAATAAATTCAGAAAATATGTTTCAAGTATGCAGAGATCTCTTGCATTTGCTTTGGGTTATATTTAAAAAAAAAAGAAATATACATTCTTGAATCTGCTYTACAGCAAGGAGTTAGGAACTGTGATTTTAACCACAGAGAGTATTTTGCTCCATTTTAAATTAAAGAATGTTGTAAAACCGACTTTAAATTATGATATTTCTCCTGTGGATTTCTTGGTACATGGAACTATCCTGTTCTTGTCATACATTCGGCCTTCATGGTAGGAGCAATTTTTATCACTATTTAGCTGTTAAGTGAACGCTGATATTTACCGTATGCACAGCCAGCTTCTGAAGACAGATATGGAAAAGACTGCAAGCAAAATGTGCGAGAGTAAGGAAGGGACAACAAGAGATGTGCATGTATTCAAACTGATTTACTTTACGTCCTGTATCCTAAATGCTTTACCCCGTTTTTAAAACAAGGCGGTCTTTCATATATGGCAACATTTCAAAGCATGTGGCGYGCTTCCAAGTCTAACGCATCAAGGAAAGCTGATGTATGGAACAAAATATGGAATATATAAATACTTCACTGATACCATTGCAATAGCCAATTCAATGTCAAGCATTTCTAGGAGCGGTGTGTTTTCAATTTCCTTTTCTAAATGAAAAAAAGTATGGTATAATATGCTCTGGCATTTATTTTACTTTTAGTTAGTGCAAACAGTTCCAGATGTATATTGAGGCATGAAAGATTCTTAAAGACAYTCCATGTTGACTGTACAGGACTTACTACTTTTGCTCCGCCCATTAAAAACAAAAATAAAAACTCTAAAATTAAAAGATCCCATTGTCTCATTGCCTTCAAACTGACAGAAACAAACTCCAGATAAGACATGAAGGTTGGAACCTGACCCCACCTCCCAGGTTATATAAATGGAGCCTAAATCTGTGAGACTTAATACAGGTTGTGATTACCAAGACGGTGTTGGTCTAAAAAGACATTTTGATTATTTTGGGAGTGATG